ATTTCAGATGTTTTTGGAGCTATATCCAAAGGAAATGTGTCATTCTTTCAGTGGTTGACTGTTTTAAGAAAGGGAAAAAAAAACTTGGTCCAACTTCTCTCTCTTTCGTGGAACATTTTTTTTGGCTATGTCTCTTGGATTTTCGATTCAGACGGAGAATCGAATCATCAATGCTTGATCATGAAACCGCCGGTTGTATATCAAATCCGCGGCCAGTTGAGCCTAGAATCCAACGCCGGAAGCATCCTTTCCACCGCTGGCTTCATCAACGAAGAAATTGATGGAATCTGAGGCTTGACTGTTTCAGATTTCCGACTTGAAATCAAAGAGATTTCGATGCAGGAAGCTTCTTCATTCTTATCTAGGTACGATTCGAGGTTTATAATGTGTAGATTCGTCTATTTAATATGTTGAATCTAGAATAGGGTATTTTGATTTTAGGGTTCATAAGATTGTAAATTAGGGTTCTTGGTTTGAATGCAAAATTAGGGTTATTAACATCAATAATTAGGATATTTATTTGTTATTAACTATTATCAACATCATTTTCTCATGGTATGATTTGGTTTTGTTGATTCTTGAATCTGATTTGCATTCTATGATTTCTTGTTGTGTTTTATAGTTTTCTGATTTTGCTATTTCTTTGTTACTGAGTTTATAAAATCATGATAATCATATAACTCGTTCTGCTAGTGATCTTCAATGTTTGGTTTGTGTAATTTGAGAAATGCTTGTGATCAAAGCTTAATAATGACATTAGTTGTAATCAATGGTTGTAGGCTGTTAAATCGGATCACTTCTCCTTAGCTGTGATCAATGCTTGGTTATTTAACTCTGAAAATGTTTGGTTGATGTTAAAGTAGGACTGTCTACATCAATTCTTCTTCAGTCTCAAAATGGTTGTTAGATATTAACTAGGTTAGTAATTTCTTGATAAAGTGTAGTTCATGTTTTTGTGTTATTATATACTTCTGATTTAGAGCTAGTGTTCCATAAATGTTTAAGTCTCCATAAAATCATGTTCTTGATCATGTCTATATTTTTTTGTGTTTATGGCTGTTGAGGATGGAGCTAATGGAGAAGCTAGAAGTTTTTGTGGATAGAGCTACTAAGGAAGCGAAATTTAAACCTACCAAAGTAATTTACTGAGTTTTCTGGTATATTTATCTTATTACAACCAATAATTTATTGAAATTAGTTGTTAGATGTTAACTAGGTTTTATTGTTCAGTCTATATCAAATTTACTTAAGTCTTCAATGCTTGGTAGAGTCTAGCTCTTGTTAATACTTTGTTTTAAGTATGGTTGTCTAATCAAATGTACTAACCTATTGTGATCAGTGCTTGGTTGTTTTTAGATTAGGTAAGACTTTATTGCTAACACCACACACTTTAAGCAATTTAACATACTCACACTTGTTATAAATGAATGCAACACACTCACACTAAAACACAACTCGTCCTTCTTCATCTATTTCTTTCTCCACTTCTCTGTCATTGAGCTATCTCTTTCTTCATCCATTGCTATGTCCTTTACCATTCTTCGGTCTTTCTCATTTTTCGGAAAAGTACTTCTCCACCAGAAAGTACGAATGTATTCTTCAAATCCATTTACTCAGTCTCCAGGTTATTTGGATCTGTTAAGTAGCCAACATTATGAACCTGTCTCACCAAGCGTAGCTCTTGGATCTTCAGAACATCCTCTCTTCAGTTCTCAGTGGACAAATTCTCCAAGCCAAGATGAAGAGACAATTGAAGACAGAAGAAGGAGAAGGAATTGGTCACACATGAAAGATTTGGTGCTCATAAGTGTTTGGCTTAACACAAACAAGGATCCGATTATAGGGAATGAATAAAAGGCTGACTCCTTTTGGAAAAGAATTTGAGCTTACTTCAATGAAAGTCCTCAGCTTGTTGGTATGCCACAAATAGAGGTTGGCAACTGTAAGCAAAGGTGGTTCAAGATCAGTGTCCAAGTCTCCAAATTTGTTGGCTTTTTACGTGCAGCAACAGGTCAGCAATCAAGTTGGCAAAATGACAATGATGTCATGAAGCTTGCTTATGAAATCTATCACCATGATTACGCTGCCAAGTTCACACTTGAGCATTGTTGGAGGGTGCTAAGATATAAACAAAAATGACTGTCAAATTTTGGGACATAAAATAGCACGTCAAAAGAAGGAAAGGTGAAGATGGTTCTCAAGCTTCTGTCCAGTCATCAAACCATGGAAATCAAGCAGAGGCTCATCCTGAAGGTGTGAAGAAGGCAAATGCAAGGTTGAAGGCTAAAAGGAGTTCCTAAGAGATGGAAGCAACCAGCAGCAAGCTTGTGAAGAAATTGCTAGAGATGTTTGAGATAAGGAAGCAAGATTATGAATTGAAGTAGCAGGAGGCTGAAATGAAATAGAAGCTTAATAAGCAGGAGTATGAATTGAAGAAGTAAGACTTTGAAATGAAGGAGAAGTTTAATAAGCAAGCTATGTTGGAGAGTTTTTTTTGCCAAAAAAAAATCTCTTAGTGAGATTAAAGTGGCTTTGAGGAACAAACTAATAAGTGATATGTTGTCCTAAGCTATTATGATGTTTATCCAGTCAGTTTGCTTCTGATTATGTGTGTGTTTATGGAATCAGTTTGTTTATGTTTATGTGGTCTGAATGATGTATTTTCATTATCAATGTACTGGTTTTACTAATGGTTTAAAACTGAAACTCTAAATCATTATCTATGAACTGAATCAAAACTTATGATTAAACCTTTGAGTTTGTTTAAATTTGATGACTGTTTTTAACATGTTACAAGATTAAAACATGTTTTTACATATGATTTTAACAGGTTTTGATTGTTTTTTGATGAATCCTTCTTCTTGTTTTAACAGGTTGCTCAGATCAAGAAAAACATATTGGACTTCTCTGGTTTCGTTTGGTATGGATGGCTTTATGTCAAATTCATTTAAAATTTATGTAATTCAATAATTATATTTTTTAATTATAGAATGTGATGTGAGTAATCTATGGTTATAACTTATAAGTTTTTAAATTATTGAAATTTAAAATCGTTAACTATATCTATTATTGGATGGCTTAAAACTAGACAAATTACTAAAAAGTTGGATTAGATTATTTTTAATTAAAAAAAAATTTCGATTTCTACGACCATATCGATTGTTAGAGATGGTCTAAGATAGAGTGAAATCTCTTTGGGACGAGAGAGAGAGCGATGGGTAGTTCCATCTCGAGACACGTGCAAGAATGTTTTCTATGATTTCTTCTGGTAGTAACGAAAACGTTGAATGACTCAGGAATCGTCTTGTTCTTTTCGGTTGGTTCAACTTCTTCCGAAGTCATGATGAATTAGTAGTTGTTAGGGAGAGAAATATAATGAATTAGTGTTAACGCCGACCTTTTTGTATTTATACCATTCTAACAAAAATCAACCTGTAAAATATTGATATTGAAACTACACTGATTACTTACTAAGTTATTATTAATATATGTTTTAAAGTGGGCTCTGCATTCCATTATTCAACCATATAATATATTTTCCATGAATCCGTTTATATTATTTATGGAATATACTATAGGTATTCAACTACATATGAACCAGTCTGGATGTAGTAGATAGAAAAATTCAAGTGGTCAAAAAGCAATAGAAGATAAAGAACATTAATTAATTAAACATGGTTAACAAGAAGAAGAAAAAACAACAAAATGAAATGTGTGAAACCAAAAAAACCATTTTAAGGAATCATACTCTGAATCAGGCTTTAGCTTCTTAGAGAGAATCCAGAAACCAGATCCTATTATATTAGTTTGTATAGAAAAATGTGGAAGGTGGAACATTCTAGAAGACGTTTGATGAGGTGGTGGCTTAGAGATCCTGTTCGAGGAGGTAATCACCAAGCCTCTCGACGACCATGTTGCACTGTCCTGGTGTCACGGGCTCTTCATAGATCCCAAACACACATGATTGTCCTGTTTTCTTTATGGTTATGCCTCCTGCTCCCTATCGAATTAAACCAACAAAAAGTAAAACGTTCTTTAATCCTGCATACAAATATATGTATGGGTCACATGTAAGATCATTAAGTTAATCGATGAGTTTCATTACCTTCTTGCCACGGATTACAGCGCCAGGCTCGCCTTGAATAACCATGTACTTGGCTCCTGCTAGAAACATTCCTGTAGGCGCTAAATGACCCGGTTCATCGAAATCCTTCATTATACCAGTGAACTCTTCTGCCTTGAACTATATATATCATAAAAAAAATTATCAAAATATAAAAAAAACGATATCATAAAGATAGTAAGGAATATTATAATAGGGATACCATTTCATCACAAAAAGAAAAAGAAACAAAAAGAGAGCATTAGTCATTGCTTAAATACACACACAAAAAAAAAGATGCTTGGTTTGTTATCAAGATAGAGATTGAACGAATTAGAATGTAACAAGAACATGTATACATACACAAATGACATTTATTAAAATATGCATACTTGAGGGAAGTTGGCGCTCTGAGCCCAAACGCTACCGTCATGACCGACGATTGCTGCTGCGGTTAGGTGATGACCCTGGCCATCACCAACATCACACATCAAATGCTCATCAACGTAAGTTTGCCACGACATCTTTTCCTCTCTTCTTCTTTTTCTTCTTCGTCTCTACGTTTATGTTATGAGCAGCGTGGGGACGTCGTCCTATAGATAAATAGGGGAAGCTGAAAATAATGCGGCAAGAATGATTCTCAACCGTTTGATCACATAGACTAATTCTCAGCCGTAAATTTTCTTCTTATTTTTTTAGAAAAATATAATTTCAATTAGTCTTTGCTCACGTCTCGCCTTTATTATAGCTTCATCACTATAACGATCACCAACGGAATTACCGCGGAAATAAATGATTACTCGTTATCAATTATGTTTTTATTTTATTTTTATTTTCTGGTAAATGAATAAAATCATATCTTGTTCTCAGACCAAACTCTTGTCTTGTGTTATTAATTTTATATTTTACTAGAATAAGCTCCTCCTCCTACTCCTACTCCAGCTACAGCTCCTACACCACTTTCTTGTCGAACCGCTACTACTGGAGCTCCTATTCGCCACCTTGCTACCAGTTTTTTAATTACTATTGAGACAGTCAAGGGATCACAAGAACCAACAAAAACCAGAAATAGACAGAACAAATCATTTGGAACTATTAAGGATACACCCATTTTGGGGTTTTCAGGTGGTTTTTTTTCTTTTCCGGTGACGAGAGGGTGAAGGACAGTTAAGACGTAGTATAGATGTCCAGCTATGATGCCAAGAAGATTTGGCATGATCTCAGAACCGAAGATAACATCAAGTTTTAGCATTTCCCAAGGGAGGTAAAAATCCTGAGTAGTAATTCCCAAATTTCAAACGTTTTAAAAATTATTATACTAGAGAACAGGTTCTTGAATAGTGCGAAAAGAAACACTTTCAATACCTTAAGATTGACTAGACCGTACACGCTGATGTTTGCATTTGGAAACTCTCTGCTCTAGAGATATAGAAGCATAAACACGAGTGAAACTCCAAGGAATGGTGTCCAGAAAAAACGGTATTGCTGATAAAACCTGGAAATGCTTGAATACAAGTTCAGGAATCAAAGCAATGTGGACAGGAGAAACTAAGCCAAGTTGAGAGAGTGTTGTAGCAAGGAGGCACAAAGTACCGCCTTTGTTATTGGTGGAAGTGAGTTATAATATCTGCAACCAAATAACAAATGTGCTATAAGAAACAAGTCGACGGATACTATGAGCTTCGAGGTATATAAATTAGCATTCGGACTCAAAGATCCGAGATTAATTATTTTGCTTTGATTATGGCACTGATTTAAGTGATTATTACTCTGAGTGGATGTATTTTATCTAACCGGGATTTGCATTTACGGATCTGGTTAGTAAAATGCATGTTTTGTATTTTCCCGAACGGTTCTATATAAAAAGGATTTTTATTCATGTATGTGATGACAACAAGATTTTCTGTCTAGTTTAACATAAAATTATATAAATATAGTTAAGCTTAGCAAATATAATTGCAATTGCATTTAGAGTGTTTAATATTATCTCCAAGACAAACGCCAGTCCCCTTGTACTGCTGAATACAAAGTGGTTGGCATTCTTGAAAAGTGCATGGCTTGCTCAGCTTCAAGACCACACTACACCATTTTTTTTCCGCTCCATCTGCACTTGGCAAAGCCAAAAAGGCTAAAACAAACAAACATGTTAGAAGAGCTTATAAATGTAATTCAAGTATACTTTAAACAACAAATAAGCAACTTAGGTATATGTTATTATATTATAAACGAAGCATATATTCTTTAGAAATGATTAGTTGAAAAGTATATATATCTTGAATTCTAAATATATGTCTGATAGATGTAAATTGATTTTTGTTAATATAAGCTACTGACTAGTTCGTTCTTTAGCCTTTTTTTTTTGTAAAACATTTTTTTTTTCGATTAACCTCGGAATATCATAAGTCTATGGAAATATCCAGACTAATCTCCCAAATGGAGGTGCAGTCCACAGATATAAACTACTGACTAGTTTGTTCTTTAGCAATTTTTTTTTGTAAAACAAATTTTGCTTAAACGATTTAAGACGCAATGATTTCAAGAATTAATATTTGATGTTATGTATAGTTCAAATTCAGAGAAATACAAGCCATATGAACTCTTACCAGAGAGAACAATCATAGAGATGAAAAGATATGAACAAACTAGTTTTGTCATGACTTGTGAAAGAAAAGAAGAACAGGATGATTTTAATACAATGATTGTTTGACTAGAGAAATGTTTTGATATTGAAAATGGGATAGAGAAAGATCATTTTATACTGATTAAAGAAACATGGAAATAAACTATTTCAGGGAAACATATATGAAAACTATCAAAACCATTTATAATGGAGTTGTTGAATAAAAAAATAACAATTGAATTATAGTAATAAATATGTTGAATAATAAAATTTGATGATGTAGATTATTTGGTGTTGGCAATATTTACATATTGAACAAGGACGAAGTGAAGACCACCAACACTACACGTCACATTCTAAATTTCTTTAACATTGTCATGCTAGTTATTTAAAACAATTATATTACAGACTAAACAATTTATTTTATTTTTATATGAAAATGTATTATTTTATTATGTATAAATTTATATTATATTTAATTAGTAAAGTAGGGTGTTAAATTTTAGTAAATAAAATCATTCTAATGAATAAAATTAGAACTTGTGTTGAATTATTTGGTGGAAAAAAAACGATGATGTAAAATGTTAATAGAGGAAAAATAAAATGTTGAATACTGAAACAACTGTGGGTAGTCAATGTGAATATAATCAAAATAATTTATGTACATGTCTAATACAGTGAAAAAACAAAAAGTTATTAAATCTACAAATCTTTGGAGAATTAATTTCAAAAATCTTGACTAGATAATGTACTGGTTTTGGAAAACAAGAAACATAAAATTATTTTAATGACTAAAAGCAATCAAAACATATATTTTTTCCAGCCTTGTGATCTTTTAGATATTTTTATAAATCAGTAACGCGGATAAATGATATACCACATCATTTCTGAAAAAATATATTCCTTTTAATAAATAATTAGAATAAATAAGTATTATCCAGTAAAGTAGGGTGTTAAATTTTGGTCAAAACCATTATATTGAAGAAAAATTGAATGTGTGTTGAATTGTTAGGCGAAAGGGAAAAATATGATGTAAGGTGTTAAAAGATGAAAAATAAATACTGGAACAATTGTGGTTAGTTAATGTGAATAAAATCAAAAGAATTTGTGTACATGACTAATACAGTAAAAAATCAAAATAAAAAGTTATAAAATCTGATAATCTTTGGAGAATTAGGTTTCTTAAATCTTGTCTGTATAATGTACTGGTTTTTGAAAAGCCAAGAAAATAAATTATTTTAATAATTACAAACAATCAAAACATATATTTTACCAGCCTTGTTAATTAAATCTTTAAGATATTTTCATAAATTAGTGATGGGGATAAATAATATACCACATCATTTCATTGAAATTGGGTTCTTTATTAAACAGCTTTTCTATCAGCAAAAAATATCACGATGTACTGATCAAATTTAAACTGAATCAACTATAATACACAGTTTTTTTTTTTTTAAGTTTTATATTAGAAGATGTGAATAAAAATAACTAAATGATTTATATTGATGGAAAAAATATCGTTCAAACGTCTATCACACAATCTCAACCCCTTTATACCGTTGTACGAGATGCGACCATAGCTAATAGCTTTATCAGGGTCATCATTTTACTTAATTCTCTATGTAAACTCTTTATTGTGGTCTCCTTTAGGTGCCAAAAGCAAGATCCTCGATTCTTCGACTTTTTTTTGTTTGGCAAATATTAATCAAGAAATTAGGACAAAACTTTTTGGTGCTTAGTATCTCATCAACATCAATGTTCTAATTAAGAACACTCACTCTTCACGAAATCACGTTTCGCTTATGTTTTTATATCAAACACAATTTTTTTTGCTTTGATTGGTGGTATATTGTGATGACGATAAGAAAGTCTATCACTATCATTTATGTTATTGATCAGAGCTAATGCAACGTATTGACTCCATGTAATTTCTGAATACTCTTAAAATATGCCATTCCACTAAAAACTGTAGGCTCAATTTAGAAAGCAATTAGATAGCTTTGTTATTAAAATACTTGTCCTTTATTTCATTCATGTTTTTCATTTATATAAGATTACAAGTTTCCAAAATCACCAATAAGATTTTGGTTTACCCAAAATATTAACAAATGTAATAAATGAAAAGAATTTGGGAACGACAGGGTAGAGGGGAATATAATCCCAAAGAACACAAAATTGGAGAAAATTTGGCATTACCTACTTGAGTTTGGTCAGACTCAAAGAGCCGAGATTAATTATTTGTTTTGATTATGACAAATAAACCGCTCGTGCCACGTTTTGTTATCACTGTTATTGGACGTATTTTATTCAACCGTATTTGGATCTGGTTGGTAAAATTCATGTTTAGTATTTTACGGCACTGTTTTATATAAAAAAGAAAGTTTTTTATTCATGTGATCATACATATTTGTGTCTAGTTTAACATCATATTATTTATAAATAAGTTAGCAATTATATTCGCAATTGCATTTTGAGTGTTTTATATTATCTCCAAGACAAACGCCAGTTCCCTTGTACTTCTGTATACAAAGTGGCTGGCATTCTTGAAAAGAGCATGGCTTGCTTAGCTTCAAGACCACACTACACACTTTGATTTCCGCTCCATCTGCACTTGGCAAAGCCAAAAAGACTAAAAACAAACAAAGTATTAAAAGAGCTTATAAATATAATTTAAGTACACTCTTCAACAACAAATGAAGAACTTAAGTATACTATTATATAAACGAACAGCATATATGATATTAAAAATGATTAGTTAAAAAAATATCTAAACCTAGAATTCCAAAATATATGTTTGATAGATGTAAAGTGATTTTTGTAAATCTAAGCAACTGATTAGTTCATTATTTATCAGTTTTTTTTTTTTTTTTTTGTAAAATCAACTTTGCTTAGAGACTTAGACGCATTGATAAGAACTAATATTTGATGTTATATAGTTCATATTCAGAGAAATACAAGCCATGCGAATTCTTACCAGAGAGAACAATCATGGAGATGAACATATACGAACAAACTAGTTTTGCCATGACTTGTGAAAGAAAAGAAGAAGAGGATTATGTTAATACAATGATTGTTTGGTTGGAGAAATGTTTTGATATTGAAAATGGGATAGAGAAAGATCGTTTTATACTGATTAGAGAAACTCTTTTGGGGAAACATATATGAAAACAATCAAAACCATTTATATGGAATTGTTGAATAAAAGATTTAACAGTTGAATTATCATAATAAATATGTTGAATAATAAAATTTGCTGATGTAGATTATTTGGTGTGGCAATATTTACATATTGAACAAGGGTGAAGTGAAGACCACCGACATTTTACATTCTAATTTTTTTTAACATTTTCATGTCATGCTAGTTAATTAAAATAACTATATGATTACAGATTAAACAATTTATTTTTATTTCTTATATGCAACTTTATTATTTCATTCTCTGTGAATCGATATTATATTTAATTAGTAAAGTAGGATGTTAGTTAGTAAACAAAACCAATATAGTGAATAAAATTTTAATTTGTGTTGAATTATTTTGTGAAAAAAAAAAGATGATGCAAAGTGTTAAAACATGAAAACTAAAGTGTTAAATACTTAAAAAAATTGTGGATAGTCAATGTGAATAGAATCAA